GGAGGAGAGGGAGGGGCGGGCGGGCAGCGGCGAGTGCGGGGCACGCCGGGAGCTGCAGCCCGAGAGGCGGAGGCGGCGGCGGTGGCTGGGGGGCTGCAGGCGGCGGGCGGCGGGCGGGGCAGTCACGTGGACACGCCCCGGGCCGGCCCTTCCGCCTCCCGGCCCCGCCCGCGTCCTCGACCTGACCCCGGCGCGCGCGCCTTGCGGGCCTGGCCGGCTGCGCGGCTGTGGCTAGGGCCCGGGGGCCTGGCAGAGCCGCCTCCGGCCCGGGCCGCCACCCGTCAGCCGGCCCGGGAAGGCGCTCGGCTCCCCGAGGGGCGCTGCTCTCGGGATTGCGCGCTGGCGAGGGGAACGGTGCTCCAAGGTGTCTTTCTTTTATTCACCTGTGGTTTCCACCGAAGGGGTTAGAGTCCAGTGTTTTGAGGCATTTTGGAAAACCCACTTGAGATGCTGTGAATTGTTTCGATTTTCTTCCTCCAGTTAAATGAGAATAAACACTAGGGGGGCGGGAGGGTTACCCCAGTTGACTTAATTACTCAGCAAAAACAAAATGATAAACAGAAGTGGAAAATCACTTTCCCCAAGTCTGTGGTTGACATAATAACAACGGGGAGAAATCGGGTAGTGACATCCCTTGGTAATATCGTTTTGTATGTTAGACTCATAGGATATGGATGTATTCTCTGCTGGTAGTCTTTTCTTCATGAAGCCCCGGCTGTGACAGCTGACATCAAATAAATGGACCCAAGAGTAGAGATTCCTCCTCCTTGGCAATCACAACCTCTTCTAGCAATGCCATGTAACTGAGCCAAGACTCTTCTCTAAACCTTTTTCTTACTTACACATGCGTCCCATTTATCAAAGAAAAAATTGTCACTTTATACTTGAGGAAAATTTTCATAAAAATTTAATGTTTCATGAGTTTATATGAAAATACTGTATTATCAGTGAAACACTTTATGTGCTTATCTGTAATGAATGTTTAATAAAGTGTTAAACTATTTGGGGTTGATTTTGTATGCTGCCTTTTCTCCTAAAGTTTGACGATTTCTTCCTAACTCCCTTCATTTGTAAAATTGGTAAACAAAATTTAAAGCTCTGATCAATAGTTAAACTTACTTTGTGAAAAAGACTTGCACTAAAAAAAGCACATTTATTTTTGCCTAAAACTGTTGGGAAGAAAATCGTAAGTCCAGATACACCTTGATACAGACTAAGCCAGAAGTGCAGTGCACAGGCAAGAACTTTGGGCTGGGAGTTGGGAGACTTGGGGATTAATCTTGGCACTGCCCCTATCTTTGTAACCTTGAAGGGCTTTCTACCCAGAAGACCTCACATACTTCATCTGTAAAACAAACTCTCATTGGGGTGCCTGGGTGGCTCCGTCAGTTAAGTGGCCGACTTCAGGTCAGGTCATGATCTCACGGTCCGTGAGTTCAAGCCCCACATCGGGCTCTGTGCTGATAGCTCAGAGCCTGGATCCTGCTTTGGATTCTGTGTCTACCTCTCTCTCTGCCCCTCCCTGCTCGTGCTCAGTCTCATTCTATCTCTCTCCCTCTCTCAAAAATAAATAAAAACATTAAAAAAATTTTTTTTTTTTTTTAATAAAAAAAAACAAACAAACTCTCATTAAATTATCCTTAAAGTCCTTTCCAGCTTTGGGGCACCTGGACGGCTCAGTTGGTTAAGCGTCTGACTCTGGCTCAGGTCATGATCTCACAGTTGGTGGGTTTGAGCCTCTCATCGGGCTCTGTGCTGTCAGC